AAAGTTCCTGTTGTTGTTAAGTGCCTTCAAGTCAGTTCTGACTCAGCATATAGAGCTTCCTAGGAGCAGCTGGTCGGTTTGAACTGCTGACTTTCCAGTCTAAACCGACTTTGCGGTCCAGGGCACTATTCCACAGTACCACATATAGAGATAAAATTCACTTGAAGTTCTGGTGTGGTGCTGTGGGGTAATGCACTGGACTGCAAGGTCGGTTTGAACCTCAAGACTACTGTGAGTCAGAACCGACAAGACGGTAATTCACAACAACATTTAGTTGTTTTTATTCCATTCACAGCTGTGTGTGGTCATTTCCAAAGTCAATTTCAGAACATTTTGTCACCTTATAAAGTGACTTGGTGGTGGTGGCTGTGTACCACGAGGCTATAAATCTTTACGGGAGGAGCAGAAAGCCTCATCTTTCTCTCACAGAACAGCTGGTAGTTTCGAACTGCTGACTTAGTGGTTCGCAGCCCGATTCGTAACCACTACGCTACCAGAGCTCCTTATAAAGGGACTTAGAGATCATCTAATTCAAACGATTTCTCAGAATGGGAAACTAATGCACATGTGTGTGAAAATCACTTAGATAGGGCTAACTACAGTTTAAATACTCTTAAAAACTGTTGTTTGTTGCTGCTGTGAATAAACCCAGTGTGAAATACACCGATTCACCAGTTTCTACAGGGACAATCCAGTGACGTTGATGAGCCTTTGAATTTCACCTCCTTCTCTGAGTTGGTTCTCCTCCATCCATCCAGACTCACTGCCCCTCACGTTCCTAGCTAACCTTTCAAATTGCCACAGTCAGTTTGATCTCATGGGATACAGAGGGTTTTCCCTAGCTGGTTGTCAGAAGTAGGTCTCCAGGTCTTTTTTCCTAGTCTTAGTCTGGAAGCTTTGTAGAAACGGATCTGAAATACTGACAGCCTAGCTTCTAACATCACTGCTACATACCAGCTCTCACAGCACGAGAGCCGGACAGACGGCGGTGGAGACATCTCTGGGAGCTTCTATTCGGCCTGCTGTGGCATCCAGATTGGTCACCGTCGTCGTTAACAAAGGCTTCACAGGCAGGACCTTTGAGCCCAAGTCCTCCTGGACCTGCTTAGCAGCAGCCAGGAATCCAAGTCTCCTCCCACTTCACGGGTGGCTGGTCCATTTTCGGCACCGTGGGCAGGGCTGTGAAGGAAACAATGACCCCGATCCCTCATCCTCATAGTCCATCAGGATTGTTCTAGAACCTTCTCATTTATGTAAGCACACTTCACACATTCCTGCAGCCTACCTTTAACCCTTGGCTCCTTAGACCTGTTCTGCAGCTGGGATAGCCGGTGATTAGTTAGGGCTTTGCTTCAAGCCTGTGCAATCCAGGTCGAATGCTGTCTAGGCTCCCAAGTGTCTCATTCTTGTGGGGGTGGAAACAGTCTGAGCCAGAATTTGAACCCCAGCTGGTCTGCAGCTGAATTTGCCTTGAATGTTCCCTCTCCCGGACTGTGGGGTTCTCTGTGGTCCTGTTGGATGATCCATGGCTTTCTGAAGCACTGCTTCTCCATCCACACACTGGGGATTCATTCGGGTGATTTCCCTGACCCATGTGCAGGGACAGGACTCTGCAGCCAAAGAATCAGACAGAGCATGGAAGCTGGCAGCTGTACGCGGCTGGAGGTGCCCCTCCGTGTGGGGAGAGGAGGCTGTGGGGACCCCAGTCCTGCCGCCTCGGCTGTGGGGTACAGGTCTCACACCTGACACTAGTCTGTTCGCAGGACTGCCCACTTGGGTGGAGCAGAAATGATGTCACTGTAAGATGAGGAAAAGGCTCGTAGAAGCGCTGGTGTGGCCCCCAACCCGACTGCCACTGAGTGGGTTCCAAATCACAGTAACCCCTGTGTAGGGTTCCAGTCTTTATAGCAGGAGACTTTCTCCTGCGGAGAGGCTGGTAGCTTTGAACCGCAGACCTTTCAGTTAGCAGCTCAATGCTGAACCCGCAGAATCACCACCAGAGCCCCTGGTGTACAGTCAGCCAGGATTTAAATGCTGGATCCTCTGCCTCAGGGTTACCTGGGGGGTTTGTTGACTTCAGTTACAGGATGTGGACACCCCGACTTCTTTCCCAGCATCTGCCAGCAGTTGTGGGCAGTATGGTCCCTGGGGAACCTGAGGTTCCCAGGCAGTTCTAGTCACCCCTGAGGCCCTGCTAGAAGGGAGGGCTTCAGTCTGAGGCTGTCCCAGCTTGGGGCAGAATCCCCTTACCTGCGTCTGTCTTTCCAAGTCCCCAGAGCAGGGCCAGCTCTCACAAGCCTGGTCACTGTTGGGGACTCTGAGCCACCACTTGCTTTCCAAGAGGGTCCCCTGGACAGACTCTGGGGTCAGGTGGGGACAAGTACAGCGTGGTCTGCTGTGGGCTGATGATGGGTGTGCCTCGCTCTGTCCGCTGTCTCTGAAGAGGCCTCCTTGGCACTTCAGCACCATGCAGGGGCCACCCATGCCAGGACTGTCTCTCAGGAGGTGGCAGGGAGATGCCCTCAGGACAGACCGACATCACCCTGTATCTGGGTCCGTATCTGTAGATGCAGCCCTGTTCATCCTCCTGGGCTTCAGGGAGGGGAGGGACCCCCTGTCCTGTGTAGGAAGACACCAAGCTGTCCCTGGGATGAGTTGCCCAGGATTCCCGTGGGCTGCTGTCCTGGGCACTGTGGAGGGGCTCGCCAGGCAAGAGCGAGGAAGGAACGCTGCAGACCGATAAGGTGCCTCTGGCCTTAGTTTCTCTATCCAGACGAGACCATCTCTGAGGGTCTTCTAATCTCAGATGATGACTGAGACCCTTCCCCTCCCACTGACAGATACAGAGACTCCTAGAAGACAGTCCGCCCTGCTGTGCCCACAGCCCTCCTCCATGAGGTCCCCACCCCCCAAACCCCCTCCACACCCTGTTCTTCCCACCTTCTTCCTGTAGGAAAAGCCTCAGCCCGCTCCAGTATTCACACACCTTGTTTTTTGCTTTTCTGTAAAAACAAACACAGAAAAGTACAAAAGATACTGAATAAGTACCTCCCACCCAAAATGATCGCGTCCATAGTCTGACCAGTTACTGAACCGTGATTGGTTTAAGACTCTGAGACAAAGCTGGAGGCCTCTGCGCTGCCCCCTCCCTTTCGAGAATCCCTCCTCCGGTGTCTAGTCCCAGTTTGCACGCTTGGCCCCACTTGGCTCTGCTGGTGTCCAGCCAAACCAGTGTGCACTGCGGCATGCTCCTGGGTGCCAACTCTAGATGATTGCCAGGTGATGTGCTTCTCTGGGTTCTCTGCAGACCTTCTAGGTGATAGGCAGGTGAGTCCACCTGCCTCTGCACCCCACAGGACTGAGGCTGTTCCCCAGCTCACGTCACAGTACTTACTCCTAGAGTGATGCGTGTCTGTCCATTGTAGGACATAGAGGGCAGCGGGGTGGGTACGGTGGGTGTTAGGCTCCGAATCGGTGACCCTAGGTCCAACAGAACGAAACACCATCTGATCCTACACCATCTCACCACCATTGCGGTTCAAGGCCTGTGTCAGTCCGTCTTATAGAGGGTTTTCCTTTTCACTGACTCTTGAAAAGTTCCATGGACCTCCCAGAAGAACCAGCACGTCAGTCTTGGAGGAAGTACAGTCAGAATGTGCCTTAGAAGCCAGGAAGGTGAATGTTTGTCTCACACATGTTTTGAACATGTTATCACGAGGGACCAGCCCCTGGAAAATGACTTCATACTTGCTTGGCAAAGCAGAAGGTCAGTGGAAAAAGGGAAGCTTCCAATGAGATGGATTGGCACACTGGCAGCAAACAGCAGGTTCAAACGTAACAGCTGAGAAGATGGTGAGGACTGGACAGGGTTTCCTTCTGTGGTGTCCAGGGTCACTATGAGTTGGGACTGACACGACCGCACCTGACTTTCCCAGCCATGAAGTTCTTCTCTAGGGACTGGTCCCTTCCAAGAACATGTCCAAAGTATGTCAGGCAGTCTTGCCATGCTTGTGTCTAAGGACCATTCTGGTTGTTCTTCCCAGGATGAGTGGTGGTTGGCAGACCTTAGTCTGGGGTTTACAGGACTCGTGGGAAGAAGGATGGAGAAGAGGATGGAGGATGGATGGAGGGATGAATGGATGGGTATTGAGTAGGGTGTCAGCTGGGGCCAGTGTCCACCTCAACCCCTCTCTCTGGTCTTGCCTATAGCCAAGTACCCAGCCATCAAGACCCTGATGCGTCCGGACCCACACCTCAAGTGGACGGTGTCAGGGTTGGTGTTGGCACAGCTGTTGGCCTGCTACCTTACGCGTGGACTGTCTTGGCGCTGGCTGTTGTTCTGGGCTTACACCTTCGGCGGCTGTGTGAACCATTCACTGACCCTCGCCATCCACGACATCTCCCACAACACGGCCTTTGGCACAGGCCGAGCTGCCCACAACCGCTGGTTTGCCATCTTCGCCAACCTGCCCATTGGCGTGCCATACTCGGCCTCCTTCAAGAAGTACCATGTGGACCACCACCGCTACTTGGGTGGTGACGGGCTGGACGTGGATGTGCCCACGCACTTCGAAGGCTGGCTCTTTTGCACGCCGGCCCGCAAACTGCTCTGGCTGGCATTGCAGCCCTTCTTTTACTCACTGCGACCGCTCTGTGTGAACCCCAAGGCTTTAACACGCATGGAGGTGTTCAATGCCCTGGTGCAGCTGGCCGCTGATGCCACCATTTTTGCCCTCTGGGGGCTCAAGCCTATAATTTATCTGATGGCCAGCTCCTTCCTGGGCCTGGGCCTCCACCCCATCTCGGGCCATTTCGTGGCTGAGCATTACATGTTCCTCAAGGGTCACGAGACTTACTCCTACTATGGGCCTCTCAACTGGATCACCTTCAACGTGGGCTACCACATGGAGCATCATGACTTTCCCAGCATCCCCGGCTGCAACCTGCCCCTGGTATGCTGTGCAGGGCGGGCGGGTGGGCACCAGGGCATGGGCCGTGTCTGGTCTCCTCCTCCTGTTTACGCTGGTGGTGGGATGGGATGACCAGGTGCTCACTTGCGGCCACACAGCAGAGGCAGGTCAATGTCCAGAGGTCTTCCTGGCTGGACCCTGCAGGACACTTACCGTATGTCCAAAGTGTGCCCTGTTTGTGAGGGGCTTCTCGTGGCCCAGAGGTGGCTGAGGACAGGGTGGGGCTGAGCCCCTGGGGGGAGGAACTGGAGAGGTTTTGCAGAGATTGGAAGGGGGAGAAGGGACCTTTGGCCATGACCACACAGGACAGATGACTCAGGCAGTTCATACCTGATACTTGAGTAACTCTGTGGCTGTTGCTAGCGACGTGTGTACTTGTGTACCTGCATGTGTCCATGTGCACACGTTTGTGTATGTGACTGCCAGTGGTCTCCCTGAGCCCATGTGCTTGGCTTCCTCTTCTGTCAGGAGGCTGGGTGTGCACACGTTCACCTACATGGACATGTTAGCATGTCCGAGTATGCCTTTCAGGGGTAAATTTTGTGTGTCCCTGCTCACACATGCATGTCCGGGTGTATATGTGTGTTAGCATGCCTCTGTGTGTACCCCATGTGCACGTTTGTTCATACATTCGTGACTATTCAGAAGTACGGCCATGTGGATAGGGACCTGTTTACCCGCTCATTTGTGCATGTTTGGGTGTGCATGTTAGTGTGACTGCACATGCCCTACATTTATGCATTTATGTGCACGTGTGCAGGGGCTGTGAATACACCTGTTATTACCCACCCACATGTGTGTTTGGGTGTGTACGTGCTTACCATCTCCCCAAGCCCATCAGGAGCCTGGGAGGGAGCGTGCTGTTAGCATCCCGGGTGCATAGTCCTTCCCTACCTCCTGACCCCCCGGACTGATGCTCTCTGCTTTGCAGATGAGAAGGCAGAGGCTCACGGGGGCAGCCCCTCAGGAGAGGACAGAGCCAGACTCTAAGCTGGGTCAGCTGCAGAAATAGCAGCTGCCAACTGCCAGCTTTAAGTCCTCGAGGGAAGCAAAAGGCTTAGCCTGTGCCTTGGTGTCAGCTGTGAAGGGGACGTGGGAACTGGGTGAAGGGGAGACCGAGGGGTTGGCGGGGGCAGCACACTTCCTGGAGGTAAGCATTGGTTTGCTGAGGGGTGAAGCAGAGGACGCAGGTGTGTGGACTGAGGTGAAGCCTGCCAGATGAGAGAGGGCATCCGGTGCCCACTGAGCAGTGTGGGTGTGACCCAGGCTCAGCAGCTCCCCGCCAGGGCCCCAGCCAGCTGTGCCTCGACTGTGGGACCACCGTGGGACTCCCAGAAGCTCCAGTGGGCTAGGCTGGGAAAAGAGCTATTGCTGACCCCTAGTGGGCCAGAGGCCAGGCTGAGGGGGGTCACTGACTGTTCATCCCTTCCGCAGGTTCGGAAGATTGCCCCCGAGTACTACGACCATCTGCCACACTATCACTCCTGGGTGAAGGTCCTCTGGGATTTCGTGTTTGAGGACTCGCTGGGGCCCTATGCCAGGGTGAAGCGGGTGTACAAGCTAGCGGGGGAGGGTCTGTGATGGGTGTAGGCCGCCGATGCCCCCTCCCGAGGACCAGTGCCCCATTGTGCCCATGACAGTGGATGATGCTTCAGTCTCCCACCCCCCTGAATGAGGCTGACGCTGATCATTCGGCCTCCCGGGGTCTCATTCTCTGATGTCACCTCTCCACCCCCACCCCCCATTAAATTCAGTGTTTGTTTCCACAGCCCTGGGACTGTACTTTCTAGGGTGGCTTGGTTTTGAGGTGCCTGGGAGAGGTGATGGCTGGCTCGTCTCCCAGGCCCGGATGATTTGGATGCTGGTCCCCAGCTTTCCAGCCCTGGGACACCCGCCTGCCTCCCCTGCGATGACATCGGGAATTGGTCCTCAAGGACCCTGAGGAATGGATGGGTGGGTGAATGGAGGGGGCTTGGTTTGAAGCTGGAGTCCACCTCCCCAGCAGGTCACAGAACAGGTGCTAGAGGTCCGGTGGATGGGCAGATGGGCAGACAGGTGGGAGTTGAGGGGATCCCTGACTCCGAGGGAGCAGCTTGCAGAGTCCTCGACTATGGTCTGTCCTGACTGCAGAGGGAAGAGCAGCCTAGCCGAGATGGGGGCCCGAGCTGAGCGCTGCTGGTGGAGGGCAGCACTGTGCCAGGCACCTGTGACCCAGATAGAATGGGCAGCTGCATGGAGCCCAGCTCATCCTGAGCCAGAGTGCAGCCTGCTAGGACTTTGATCTCGAACACTCCTTGTACACACAGGTGGCCAGGGCACCCCACCCTTGCATCGGGCAGGCCCTAGCACAGCCCGGAGGAGTGTGACTCAGGGTACCTGAAACCAGAGCTCCTTCCGCTTGTCGGGCCCAGGAGGTGGGCTGGATACATGGCCGTGGGGGTCCCCCATTGGGGACACACTATGGGGTTCGGGGAGACACACTGTATGGTGGCAGTAATGGGGAGGGGACCCAGGGTGGTGGGTGGTCGTGCCTGTGGAAGCCCTGGTCCCTGCACAGGGACACACATGGTGGGCTTCTGACATGGCTAGGAGGGGGGCAGACCTATTCCAGTTGGCCCACACACGCCCTACACTTGAAGTCCCACTGTCTGGGGCTTCCCTTGGGTCTGAGGCCCAGTCCCGGAACACGGGTACTGGAGCTGCCCCTTTCCCACCTGGTCAGCTCCGCTGTGTGGTTCTGGATGCCAAGAGAAGGGTGTGTCAGCCAGGTGCCGTCAGGAGTCGGCGCAAGGGCAGGACCGAGGCGCAGGGTGGACAGTGATCAGTTTATTACCCATGTGAACACAGACACCGCGCCACGGACGACCCACCGACAGCCACACGGCGAGGACAGGGCGTCTACTAGGCAAACCCATCTAATGAGGCGTGTGGTCTGGGGGCTTCCTCTCTAAACAGATTGTACACTTAAATACGCAAATAGAAAATATAAAAGAGATGGGGGAGCTGCATCTTCTGTCTGGTAGAATCTAAAAATCCAGGAACCGAACCGTTTGCTCCTTTTGAGTATTTATCACAGGTGAAGACTTGAGACGCAGCACGTCCGCTCAACATGTGCCCTCTCCTTGGCGGCCAGCGGCAGGACCCCCGTGTTATGTGGTGCTGATCCCACTCAGCTCTTGCCTGATGGCTGGGGAACAGGACGGGGGTGTGGGGAAGGCTCAGAGCAGGGCGATAGCACCCTGATCTGCTAACCAGGCCCGGGACCAGCCAGGACGGGTGGAAGGAGGGGCTCCGAGGTCTCAGCAGGATCGAGACCAAAGCTGTGATCTGCTCTCCCATCCTGCTCCCCGCATCAGCTCAAGCCTTGCTCAGGGCTACCTGTTTCTGCCCTGAGACCTCTGCAGGCCCAGTTTTCTCATGGAGGGCCCTGGGAGGTGTGAGCACTGGGGTGTACCTCTGGGCTCCAGCTTTGTTCCCCGTCTTCACATATTCACTCCTTATCTCTGGCCAGGGATTGCCAGGTCTAGGACCCCCAGAATGGTCAGCCCTCTCTTGCCCAGTTCACTGGGCTGCCTCTGGGCATCAGGCCCGCAGGGCAATGGGAGCTGCTCTCTACTTCCTGGGCTGAACGGGTCCTGCCCAGCCCTTCCCTGTCCTCTGGCTCTAGAACCAAGTGGTCCCATCAAGGCCGGGGGACTGGACGGGTGGACATGATTCAGTGACCAGGCCCCTGGCCATGCTCTGAGCAACTGTCCTCAGAGTCACAAATTGGTGATAGCAGGTGGCCAAGCCGGAACTGGGCTTGCAGGCATTCATCCTTCCTTTCCAGTGCTGTCCATAGCAGGAGCCCTGGACTCACCAAAAGGTTGGTGGTTCAAACCCACCAGCCATTCCACGGAAAAAAAGATAAAGGAAGCTGTGTGCTCCCATAGAGATGGCAGCCGTGGAAACCCCCACCCCCACCCTCCGGTGTGGCTGGACTTGCTGCAGAGTACAACTGACTGCAGGAGGGGGGCTGGGTCTGGAAGTGTGGGGAATGGGAAGGCATCGGACCCATGGGTAGGTGTGCTTTCTCAGGTGGGTCACGTAACCTTCTGAGCCCTGTTTCCTTGATTGAGGGCCCCCCGCAGCACTGGTCTCCCCTCAGAAAACCCTGGCGTGGACTGGCCAGCTCTGCAGCCCGGGGCGGGGCCCACTTACCCTCAATGATCTCCTCCTTTACTCTGTGCAGCTCTCGGACCACCTCCTCCAGGATCTCCTGGGGGGGGGGGCAGGGATGGGGCAGTGACAGGGGGTCCAGCCTCCTGCAGAGCCATAGCTGGGGGCACGGGAGACGGGTCCTGCTACCCCACTTCAGGGCATCGTAGGAAGGCCCAGAGCTAACAGCACTATGGCCTGGCGGGTGTGACAAGAGCACAGGGCACCCCTTCCCCACTGCCAGCTCTGCCTGGCCCCTTCATAGCTCACCTGCTTCATCCTGTCAAAATCTAAGGCATCCAGGGCCACATCATTCACGCTCCCAGCTGGCTTCATCCTGTGGGGGGTGGGGGGGTGGGGCAGGCGGTGAAGTGGTTGGCAGGGCCTGGTGGCGCCCACCCTGCTGGGCGTGCTGATAGACTCCACATTGCCAGTCCCTCTCAGTGACTCCAGGGGGTTTCCATCGAGACAGTGACCATATTTCCCAGCCCAAGAATCAGGACTTGGGTGCTCCGACTCAGAGTTCACACAGGTAGGGCAACCTGGGCCGACAAGTAGACCTGGGAGCCCAACACTCCGACACTGCTAGGGGCTTCCACTTCCACGAGGCCTACGTTCCTCGTCTCGCCCCTGCCTGCAGGACCCTTACTAAAAAGCTCTTTTGGGTCTCCTGGCATTGTCCACCGTCTTCACGGTGACAAGGACGCAGTTAGAACCTGTGGTCTTGGGAGTGAGCGTGGCTGGTGTCCAGCACAAAGAAAGCGGGATGGAAGACGTGCCATGCACGCACAGTTCTGGACAAGTCCTGAGTCACTTGGCCCCAGTGAGTAACCAGGTCCAGCTGGGCTCGGGGGCCCTCCACGTCCACCTGTGGGCTCTAGTCCCTAGTTCAACATCTTACCTTCTCTGGGCCTCAGTTTCCCTACCTGAATACTCGAGGACAACAATGCTTGACTCAGAGCTCAGAGGGGTTCGAGCAAAGGGTCTACTGCCATTTGTTCATGCCCACGGTGCCCCAGCAAGTCCTCCCCAACCCTCTGGCAGCCATGAGCTCCTGGGGCTGTAACATCAGAGCCTCCACAGGGCCTTCCTTCAGCCGGGAGAACTGTCCTAACATATCATGGCCCCGCCCCCGGGAGCTGTTTCACCCCATCACTGCAGACCCCCATTGCCCCACTCCTGTGGAGGCCAGTCTCCAGAGCACTCCCAGAAGCAACTGCCTGTGGTACATGAGGCCTTCTGCCCAGAGAAGCAGCTCCTTGTGGGCAGGGATTGGTTAGCATGGAGCCTAGCTGCCCAAGGCCTTCCTGTGTCCCTTCACCAGAGTGTGCAGGCCTCACCCAACCAAGGCCCGTTCAAGACCACGATCAGACGTCACCTCTGTGACAAGAGCCCCTTCACTTCCCTGGGTTCAGGTTCTAGGGGTCTGCACAGTCAGGCTACACCTGGCTCCTGTCCCATGTGGCTGTCTCAGATTTCCGTTCCAAATACTCTACCCTCTTGTCACACTTTTGGTTTGGGCAATGTGACAGGAGAGTAGAGTCTGTAGAGGCAGACGGGCTCTGCGTGTTGCCGAGGAGCTGGGGCGCTGTTCTGACAGTGGGCACCCAGCCTCGGGAGCAGACACACCTGGTTCACAGGAGACACACAGGTCGGGCAAGAGCTCCGCAGTTCCCAATGCCAGCAATCCGAGTCCAGGTCTGAGCTCCGTGCGGGACTCTCTTCCCTGGCCCCTGGACACGTCTCCTCCCCAGCCCCAGCCCCCCGCCTGTGAGCCCAGTCTCTCCAGCGTTCCCCGGGTCTGAGAGAAGCGCAGTGTTAAGTGACAAGACAGGAGACGGGGTGTGTTAGTCACGGGGACACATGGGCACAGGGCTGTCGGTACCTAGAGTGAGGCTGTGACTGGAGGGGGCTCTTTGCCAAAGACGGGGTTCTAGGCAATGGAACGAAGCAGATGTGAGTAGGAGCCGTGCATGCCCGCCCACCGGATGCCCGGCCTTCTGGGCTGGCTCACCTGGACAGTACGGAAGACACTGGCTTTTCCACCGAACTGCTCCTCTCCCAGGGCTTCCGGCCAGCCTCTGTCAGGGTGAAGGGTCAGAGCTGGCAGGACACCCGTCAGGCAGGTGGGACCCTGAGTATTCTCTGCTCTGGGACTCCCCCCCCCCACCCCCCGGCCCAGTTGTCATCTGGCTGTGGGCCTCCCCATGCTGGACCTCTCGCTGGTTCAGAGGACCCCAATGATGGCTGGGGAGGACGCTCTCTGGCACTCTGTGTCTCCATCTCTTTTGGGGAGCTTTGTGTTGCTGTGTGTCTGTTGTTGATGACCACTCTGCCCCCCCTCCCCCCGTGGTCTTCTGCCCTTTTCTCATCGGGGCCTGAGGGCTGGCTTGCTGGCTGTGGGAACCGACTGGACAACAACCAGTCAGTTTCACTGCACGTCAGGAGATTTTCTGAAGTGAATGGAATTTGCTGACTTGCAGGGTGGGCAGAGACCCCAGGTTGGGCCTGAGACTCCAGTGTTTTAAGGGCTGTGGGATTCTCATACCCGCTCTGGGGTCTCCAAGCTCCAGGGCACCATGCTGACCCCGTCTTGATGGGGATGGGGCAGACACATTCAAGCCCTCAGTTACAGCACACGGCTGGCCTGCCTCCCCCTCAGCACTGGCCAGATGGACCCAAGGCCCATGTTTTTTGAGTGACTGAGCTCAACTGCTCCTTCCCACCGTGAGCCAGCTCTCTCTCCTCAGCACACAGACCCATCACAGGCTGACTGGGAGAAATCTGAGCAGCTCTGGGAGTGTAGTGGTTACAAATTGGGCTGCTAACCTGAGGGTCAGCAGTTGGAAACTACCAGCTGTTACGTGGGAGAAAGTTGAGGCTTTCTGCTCCCATAAAGATTTACAGCCTTGGAAACCCTGTTCAGGGTCGCTATGGGTCGGAACCGACTCCACGGCACACAACAACAACAACAACAACAAAGGGTTGTTCTCGATGGAGTCAGCCAGGTTGGCAAGCTTTGGCTTTTCTGAGGTGGCAGGAATTCCGGTACTGGAATGTTGAGAGGACTGGTCCCAGTCTTCCTTAGTTCTCCATGTTCAACATGTGCCGTCAGATAAGTGCTGCCTGGTGTGAGCCTGCTGCCCCGGTATGTAACGGGGGAGGGGGGACAATGCTATGACAATGTGACAAAGTGGCCACCTTGGTGGAAGACATGACCCAGTTCTCGATAGTCCTTCTTGGTGCTCCTGCCCAGCCTCCCCCCGAGATGCGTGTGGTGATCCCAGCTGGAGCCAGGGGCTCCTCAAGGGGGATGGTTCTTCAGGTGCATGTCCTCCAAGGGTCCTCCCTGGCCGCGTGGTCTCAGGAGGGCACCCCTTACCTGAGGCGTTAGGAGGCTGGCTGGCGGCTCGGGTCCCTGGTGATGGGGAGGTACTGGGATCTTCCTGGAAGAGAAAAGAAGACTCTTCAATTAGTCAGCTCAGGAAGGCTGCTGGCCTAAGGGGGCAGCCTTTGGACTAGTTTGTTCATACGGCCCTGCCTGTCCACGTTTTCTAGGAGGACGTGTGCTGTCTTGATCAGAAACAATGGACACTGTTGAGAAATGAAGGTCCCACAGTCCTCGAGGGCAAGTCCCTGGAGTCCTTCCATGCTCGGTGCACACAATGCCCCTGCAGGTCAGGGCTTCTCCCTCAGGTGGTCCACTTCTCTGTCCCTCAGCTTCATGGTGGCTAGCTGTGGAGGGGCCTCTCAGATCAATCCTGCTCTTTAGAGGCCAGTGGAGTGGGAGGGGGCCCCGATGAGGACAGGAGATGGCAGTTACGATGACAGAGAAGAGGGAGGAGGAAGAAGGTGGTGGGATGAAGAGAGTCCGCTGGGGTCCTGTCTGAGCTGAGGGCAGAGCCCAGGTACACAGCACCTAAACCTTGTGGTCACCTGTTGCTCCCAGGATGGAGGCCCGGGCCATCCAAAGTTATGCTGGGCTAGCTGGAGGGTTCTGGGTGAGAAGGATGTAGGGCCCACCCTCCCAGGTCTTGATGTGACAGGAGGGGTGCTGGGTCCTGCGGGGCGGGGCAGTGTATGGCACGGGGTTCGTGGGGCTGAAAGTCAGTCTGGGAGTAGGGTCAGGCTGGCATGGGCCCTGAGCACCTGCCACCATGTGCAGCTGAGGTGAGCTGAGGTGGTCTCAGGAGAAGTGGGAAGGCCCGGAGGAGCTGTGGGGTCTTCAAGAAACCATCTGGAAGTGAAGACACCACAGCTGACAGTCCCTTGTGCCTGGCCTGGCCCGGCCCGGCCCGGCCCTGGGTGATGCCTGCTTTGCACCCTGTAAAGGTGCTTTCTGGCAGGTCCGGACCCCAGCTGAGCCCTGAGGGCGGGGCAGGAGCAGCTCCAGGGGAGATAAAGGGTCAGTGCTGCAGGGGTCCCCACTCAGCAGCCCAGCTGTGAAGCCAGCGTGGGGGGTGAGGGGGTGGAGGGGGTTGCTTACTGTTTGGTTTTCATCTTCCTTTTTATCAGCCGGCTTGTCTGTTTGGGAGGCTGCTTTTCTCCTGGACGCAGAAAGGGAAGATGGACAGTCAGCACTTGAAGGATTCAGACTGAACGTGAACGCCCACTGGTACCCAGAGCACCCCTTGGTGTGGGTACTACTGTGGCCTGTTTCAGGGCAGGAAGGCAGCTTGTCCGGGCATCCCACCTGCCAGTGGCTATACGGCCAGGCCTGTGAACCCACACTGAGCGTTCAGGTCCCCAGTCCCCAGAGCATCCAGGTTCAAGGGCCACTCTACCCTCAGAAGGCCAGTGGGTGGCCTGGTCGCTGGGACATAGGTCTGTCTGTCCCCAGCTCTGGAGGACACACAGTGCAAGCCTAGGGACAGAATCCTTCCTCCAGTACCGCCCCACTCTGAAGTACGACCTAGAGCCCGGACATGCGCAGGAGAGAGCAGGCTCTGAACAGCCGGGCAGGTTCCTCCCTACACCCTCAGTAGAGCCCACAGGAAGCGCAGCCGGAACGCTCCTTAGCGTGAGCACGCGGAGGCTGCAGCTTACTCTGCACCATTGTCAGGAGGGACCATGTGAGGTGTCCTTGGAGAAGGACATCATGCTTGGTAAAGTGGAGGGTTAGAGAAAAAGAGGACCCTCCCCCAATGAGACGGCTTAACACAGCGGCTTCAAAACTGGGCTCAAACCTAACTGTGGGCTGGTGCGGGGCTGGGCAGTGTTTGGGTCTATTGCAGATCCTGTCACCATGATCTGGAATTAACTCAATGGCCCTTATTAGCAAAAGCAACACACGTTTCTTTCTCCCTCAGTTTGGCCAACTCCCAAACCTGTAGGAATAGACCCTTCAGCTTCCCCAAAGGCAAGTCTCCATTGGTGTTAGGTTTTGCGGAGATGCTGCCCGTCACTCATAAAGAGATGGGTCCCATGTGCAGCCCCCTTCACCTCACCAAGGGCTCCCTTCCTCAGCCTTGCCAAGTCAGGAAATGCTTACTGACCGAGCTGCTCATCCCAACAGGGTTGAGATCAGCCTCCACATCAACTTCTTCCTCACAACACCGAAGGGCGCCTGGTCAAGTCTAACTCTGCCTTTTATTTCAAACCCGTCTCCTTTCTACTGCTCAGACTTCCAATGCTGCAGGGCCAGCTGCCAGCGGCTCTACCTGCATGGCCGTTGTCTCCTGACTGGCCGCCTCATGACCACTTCTTCCAGCCCAATCCAGTCCCTCCCCTGCAGCCAGTTCATCTTTGAAACCTGTGAGACAGACCGCGTGGAGTCTCCCAGGAAATAGGAACCTCCCTGGCTGGTGGAGAGCCCCATCCAGCAGTTCCCAACACTGTGTGGTAATCACGGTCACCCGGCTGTCCTGCTCCTGGCAGCAGTGCCCCCTCCTTCCTCACAGAGAAAGCAGCTGCTCTCGTCTGTCCCAGGCAGAGCTGGGACTGTTAACCCCCGGCTCTGGACTGGTGGATACGCTAGGATTTGCTTTCCTACAAATTTCCTGTTCTGAGATGGCTCTCGTAGGGCCCTCGCTTGTTCTGTCTCCCCGGGCCCAGCGCATGGAGCTCCGTCTTTAGAAGTCACCCAGGACTCCCCTGAGGCCCTGATGCTGTGGGCTGGCAGGTGCGGGGCTAACCCTCCCTGCTCCCACTGTGGGGTCCCCTGACCTGTGCTCAGAGGCCTCAGGGTGGACTGAAGGGGCTGAAGGAGAAGAGGTGACACCCAGTTGGGGTACAGGGCCTCTGAGTAGGTAGGGCGTGGGGCCAGGGGAAAGGCGCTCTCTTACCAGGCCACATGGGAAGACAGAGAGCCAGCTCTGCACCCCAGTGGAGAAAGGTGGTTTCAATGAGCCACCTGGTCAGGTTTGGTGGGACAACAAAGCCACACCCTGCCCTCCCTGTGGGGGCAGAGATGGCAGAGCTCCCTGGGACAAGGGTGGGGCTCTCTCTTCAGATGCTTGTCCTGTGGTGTCTCTCACGCTATGGGTCATTCTTTCTGGGCACAGACCTTCCTCTTTGCTCTCTGAACTGCCCAACTCAGTGGTCTCCACATTGACGTCTGATCCAGACAGCGCTGCTCCATGGCTGATGTTTCTTACAGTGAGAATACTTCTCAAACCAGGTGGGCAGACTGGCCCCGTGAGGACGGTCTCTGCTAGCTGGGCCTAGGGGGCTCGAGGGTGGGGGAACAACCCACCTCTTGGCCAGCAGCTTGTTCATTTCTTCCATAAGGCCGCCCCCTCCACCCCCACTGCTCGCCCGGTTGGGGTCCGTCTTTGAGGTTCCGCTGGGACTGGAGCCTCCAGACGCATCTTCTGGCTAAAGGAGAAGGATGTGCCCGTTTAGACTCGGGCGTCGGGGGAGGGAGGAGCACTGATATGGGGAAGACGGGTCCGTGTGCGCAAGTGTGGGCATGCCGGTGTTAAGTGTGCAGCTGTGTATAGTTGTGCACACATGTGTACATGCATGTGTGCATGAGTGGGTACACGTATGAGTGTGTACACCCATGTCTCCACATGTCTGAGTGTACACCTGTGTGCGCACACATTTGAGTGCACGCCTGCGATTATGCATTCCGACCTCTGACGGGGAGAAGCCTGCCCCTCATACCCATGCCTGCCTGGCCTTGGCATCTTACCCGCTGGACTCTGCGCAGTTTGGCCCCGGCCAGGGCAGCGGCCAGTCCAGACACGGAGCTGTCGTCATGGCTGGCCCCCTGTGCTCCTCCTGCAGGCAGTGGGGGCGGGGGTGGGGGGGTGGTCCCCGTGGGAGGGGGTGGGACAGGTGGCGGGGGGGGGGGTGGAGGCCCACTGCTGGAGAGGGCTGCGCTGGCTGCTGACGATGGGTGCCCAGGAGGGAGGATGGGCCCTGGAAGAGACAGTGGGCGGGCGTATTAGCTCAGCTGTGTGCGCGGCCCCCTTGGTCAGGGGGACAAGAAGCAGTCCTCCCACAAGGCTGACCCTGGCATGAGCAAGGCAGACACCACTCAACTGATGACAGTCACAGGTGACAAGTGCCACCTGGCCTGTCAAGAGCTGACAGGAAGGCCTCGGAGGATGTGGATGGCGCTGTGGGAGCTGGGTGAGTGAGGCAGTGAGGTGACGGGGAAGGGCTTGGGGAGGACCGTGCGTGCACAGAGCGCTGAGCTGTGTTCCCAGGACAGGGCACCTGTAACCAGCTGGAGTTTGGTTTTCTCATGCGTTAAACAGGATTAGCGTCACGTGCTCATTTCATGGGTGAGTGAGAGGATTAAGTGAGACAAGGGCCGTGACAGTATCCTGTCCGTTATAATATAAAACTCAGAACCTACGTATTTGTTCCCAGAAAACCCTCGTCCCTCAAGGGCTACGTTCCACTCTCAGGGTGGAAACCCAAGCTGAGCTCCTCTGTGGGCTGTTAGCACCTACACTTGGCTGGGCCACAATGTGCCCCAAGCAACAGGAGTGTCCATCTGTCTCCTTTACTGGCCACTGAGTCCCTGGGGGCAGGATGGTGTCTGTCTTATCACATGTCCCCAGTCCCGTGCCTGACACAAGGGAAGGTGCTCAGGAAGGAGCAAGGGGAGGCCCAGTCAGGGGTGGGCAGGGGTCACGAGCGAATCCCCTAGACCTCTGCTCTGTCCCTCCCCTTACTTGGTCGGAAGGGACTGTCACACCGTCCTGATGGGCTGTCTGCTGGGCAGAGGTGGGGCTCTCACCTGAGGCGGAGACCCTCCTCTCTAGGGATTCTTGACGTTGCTGCTGCTGCTGCTCCATCACTTGTCTGTAAAAGATCAGCGGAGCAGGTCCGGTTTCTGAGGAGCCCGAGAACAACGCAGCTCTGTTCCCAGCCCGAGCCGCAGAGTCAGGTTTCAGCACTGCCCTGGAGCCTGAGCCTAGAGGGGCCCTTTCTGCCCAACCATGGTTCTGACTGCCAGTGTTGTTGGACCCCTTCACCAAGGAGGAGGAGACGGGACATGGCCAGCCCTAGGTGCCCAACACTAAGCGCCAACACGATCTCCGTTCTCGGTGTACACCTGGACAGGGAGGCGCTCAGAGGCCACTGTGACAATCAGCTGGCCAGTTTAATTCCACTCACTGACATGGCCAAGCTTTCCCCAGCCCGTCAGGCGCCTGTTCACACTGCAGCCGGCCAGGTTCTCTGAGACAGTCACGGGCACCGCTGTTGTAGGAGAAATGGCCACCTGGCTGCACATCCTCACTCCAGCTCTAGGGACCCTGAGCAGACACCTCCGTCTAGAGGGTCACATAGCACGTTTAGCACACAGCACCTGTGCCTCAGTGGGCACCACCGGCCCTGTTCTCACAGCAAAGTGGCTTCACCTACAAATAGGAGAATGTCCTCAGCATCTGGGGGCTGGGAACCAGGAGCAAGGGACTGGAGGAGCTGCTTGGACCAAGGACAGCCTGCAGTGATGGCCCCACGGTGGGGAAGGTGGTGGGAGCATGGGGCTGGAGCTCAGTAAGGGTTCCATGGAGTCAGGGAAGAGGGGGGTCCAACAGGCATGACAAGACCACGAGGGTGGCTAGCTTTCCAGTCCTACATGTCATCAGCACGCCGTCTGCTTCTGAGGGGTCTGTAGATCATGCTAACCCAGCGGCTGCCTTTGTTTCTTCACTTAGCAGCAGAACACCCACAGCAAAGTGGTGTGCCAAGAGGCGGCTCCTCGCCCACTGTGTGACCCGGAGTACAGTTGGGTGGGGCTGAGGGTCCCTCTCGCCGTCAACAACCTGACCACAAGGGGTCACTCAGTCTGTGATCAGATCCACCCTCAGCAGCCAGCTCCCTGGGGACTTGGGGGCTGTGGACCAAAGTAATAGTGTGGCTGCTGGCCCGGGCTTTGTTTCAAGCACCTGTCGGCTGGTGGGCACCTGGCAGTGGGGAAGGCCCCCTTAGACCTGATGAAGAGAGGTCAAGCCCAACTTGAGGTCAGTCCCGGGCCCACCTCCAACAAGGGCCATGTCCATTCTGAGCCTCCACTGACTCACTTGATAACCAGTGATAGTTGCCAGTCCCCGAGTTCAAACCCAGCAGTCCCTCTGAGGGAGAAAGAGGCGGCTACTACTCCAGTCAAAATTAGTCTCAGGAAGTCCGAGGGGTGGGTCGACTCTGCCCTCTAGGGTCGCTGGTTTGGGGTTTTTGATTTGAGTGTTGGGGTGAGGGTTAAAATGAAACAGAGCATGTTAAAGGCTTTGTCAGCTATTAGCTCTGCCTTCCTGCAGGTCAGCACAAGTGAGGAGGAGTAGGGATGGGTCCCCAAACCACCAGGGAGCATGTCTCCATCCATTTACCTCGTTTCCTTGAGCTGGGCAACAAGGCTTAACACCAGTTGGTTTTTTTTTTTAATGGCTTTACCAGGCTCCATCCACAACCCTGGAGCTTTCTAGAACAGGGCTCAGAGCCTAGAAGGGAGATGGCAGGCCCATTTCGTGCCTTGACCTCTACTTCCTGGTGATGTGACCTGGGGGATGGGGCATCACAGACCCTTCTGGACCTCAGTCCTAGAAACATGTCCCCCAGGTGCCCCGCCCTCTCTGCCAGGGCAGCTGCAGGTCAGAGTGCCCACAGGACATTTATCTGTGCCAGTCCTCAGCTAGGAGGTCAGTGGGGTGTGCCAACAGGCCCAGGCTCCCAGGAGAGAAGAGGCAGCGTGGCTGGTGCCAGGGCCAGCAGAGAGGCCTTGGGCACATGACTGATGTATGTGGGGCCTGCAGGCTGGCCACAGGGAGTCGGTCATTCCTGGTCCTGACTTCTGACAGGATCGGCAGAGAGCTGGCCACCCTGCCCTTGTCTGGGTCTCTGATGGCCCGGACGGACCCATGCACACCTGCTGGGGGAGGCGGGGTCGTTACCTTCTTTGGATGTCCATCTCATCTGGGGAGGGGCCATTCTGTACCTGTCGCTGGGCGGAGGGGCCTGTGGACAGAGAAGCACGGTGGTCAGTGGAGGGATGGCCCCTGTGACCATGCCTGTCAGTGGGCCTGCCACCCATGCAGCCCTCCCCAATAGCTCTCTTTCTCTGTGAACCAATAAACATGGTCACATTTCACGGGCTTAAAATCCATCCCTGTTAGCTCCTCCCCCCATCCTCTACCTGCTCACCTCACTGTTCCCTCAAGCCCTGAAAATCTGGTTTCGGCCCACACCACGCCCCTTGACCTTGTCTAGCACCCTGGCCAAAGGGCTCGGGTCAGTCCCCTCCCTAGGACCCGAGGCCCCATGAGGCCGGTGTGGCTGGTGCTGGAAGATCTGAGTCTGCCAGCCTGGCCTGGCCTGGGTCACACCAAGTCCCCACCCTTCCGCCAGCCACCCAACACAGGCACCTTTGGCCCAGCAGTCGGAATTTTAGGCCCCACAGAGCAAGGAGAGAGAACTCCTACGGGCACGAGGCCTTCCCCTCCTGTTAACTGATGGATGTTGAGGAACCATCATGTTATGAAGTGTGCTCCCTGCTCTAGGGAAGGGAGCTGAGGCCCAGCGGCAGCTGCTACACTGGCAGTAAGAGGTGGCTGACGAAGTCTCTGGCCCTTAGGATGGTGGGCAGCACACCGAATGGAGTGAGTCTCCACAGGCAAGCAGGCTCCCAGAATTCTGAAGAGTCATGCACACCTATCCATCCGTCTGTCCATCTGGGCCTGTGGTGTGGAGGGGCCTGGAGTCACAGTCCAGGAGAGAGGGACAGCTCCTCCCCCAGAGCCTGGGCTGCCCAGTCCACTTGCTGCTGCCCCACGGGGCAATCCTCCACCCTCTGCCCCTTCAGTTCCCACAGATCACCCAGGGAGCTTGGGGCTGGGTGCAGGACGTGCTGTGCCCAGAGATGGACCCTCTGCCCTGCTCTGAGCCCCAAACACATACACTATTGTCATCTGGATCCTCCTCTACCACCTCTGGCATCCTGGTGTGGCACTGTGGGCTAATGGCTAATGAGCTGGACCGCAAAGTCAGTTTGAATCACAAGATCGGCGGTTCAAGCTCACCAGCTGCTCCTCAGAAACCCTATACAGGGATGCTATGGGTCTGAACCGACTCGACGGCACTTCACAACAACTGCCACCTTTACCTGCCAGAGTCACTTCCTCCACGACACCTCTCCTACGCCCTCACCCCCTCCCGCAATCCGGGGGGCTTCTGGGAAGGCGAACACTGGAGCCTTGTTTTCCTCATAAGCCTCAGGGCTTGCAGAGGGGCCTCGGCAGAGCTGGTCACACTCCCCACACTCCGGGCTCAGGAGGGCCAGCACCAGGGGAAGAACATGGGCTGGGGAGGTGGCCAGGTGAAAGCAGCCCACAAGGCAGGCCTCAGTCACTGGCTTAGCAGGGACCCCTGGCTGATCTGTAGACACCAAACGTCAGACCACATGCCGGGGCCCATGCATGACTGCATCACCCTGCCTTGTCTCCAGGGCGCCCCCCCTGGACCTCGGGCTGGCTACTCCCCAGCCCATCGCTGACTCGTGTATACCTGCAAACTCGATTGGTCTTTTAGTCAGCCCAATCTGACTGGCCTGGGCTGTTAGAAAGGCACCCCGCTTTCTACTTTATGGGGCGCTTTCTTCTCCACAGGGAGCCCTGGTGCTGCAGTGATTAAGTGCTCGGCTACTAAGTGAAAGGTCAGAGGTTCAAACCCACCAGTCAGCCACTGTATGGGAGAAAGATGAAGCGGTGGGAAACCCTAGCGCCTTTAAGTCAGAACTGACTTGACATTGGTGGGCTTGTTCTCCGTAGTCTAGTGGCAGCATGGGCCTGAGAGGAGCAGGTGAAGCCTGGGGAGTCTGGGAGCTGCTCTTGCCAAGAGGCAGGGTCAGGCCCAGTCAGTGGGGGCTCCGACAACATACACCTCCCCCTTTCTTGCTCATCTCAAACTTGCTCAAGTCGAAATCGAGTCTCTTCACACGGCTGTAACTGCTGCAACACAACAGGCAGAACGTCTGTCCAGTCCATCAGCCGAGGACTGGACAGGGTGACCACGGGCTCTCACGGCCGAGATTTGGACACAGATCACCAGCTGGGGCTGAGGGGCAGTTCAGGGATAGGCTGAGGTGAGCGGATCCCCGGTACTGTTCAGCACCCTTCCACAGGCTTCTATGTCTGACTTAGGATCTGACCAAGGCCCCTTCCCTCCAGAAAGTGGTCCCTGGCTCACAGGAGGAGGGTGGCCAGGCTGCAAGGTGGGCTAGAAGGAGAACCTGGCCCCCTGGCTGATGTGTTGCGAGATGGACAAGGACCAGGGGGCTCTGGGGAGGAGAGCACCTCCTCCCGCCCTCAGCTCACTAAGACACATCAGCACATAGTCAGTCAGGGAACAGGCTGGCAGGCCCCGACTTCCCAGCATGCACATGGAGGCCTGAGCTCCATGAATGGGACTAGATCAGGTGAGACACCCTTACCGAGCACAGAGCGCAAGCCCGACAGGCAGTGTGGGGATGGGAAAGAAGAGAGCAGACTGAGCGCCCCTGTGCTCTGCATCAGGCTGGCTGTCACTGGCCTGACATCCGACACTGGGCTCATTTTCCCCATGCGCTCTTCTAGGAACCAGAAGTCAGCAGAGATTGGAAAGCCAGCTTACAGTCACATGGCAGGTGGGGGCTGCAGGGTCAAGGCCAGCTCAGAGAGCTCCCTCAGCACTGAGGAGGACTGCCCATTCTATAGGAGCAGATTGCAGGGTCTCTCCCCTGCAGTGTGGCTAGTGGGTTTGAACCGCTGACCTTCTGGTTAGCAGCTGAGCACTGAATGGGGGCGCCACCAAGGCTCCTTGGCAGGTAAGCACCAGGTTTAAACCTGGACTCGAGATCGCTGAAATGAAGGCCCTCCTCAGGAGCAAAGAGCTGGTGAGAGGAAGGGGTAGCGGAAATGGGGTGGGGGAGGTACACCCACAGGGGTGTGGGAAAGTGACATCTGCACATGTGGGATCCCCTGGATGCGAGGCTCTGGGAGTTGTGCAGTGGTTTAGGCACCACCGTAGCTCTTGGAGAGCCCAGCCCAGGCCAGCTCGTCCAGCCCAGCTGTGGCCCTTCCTGCCTACTGCCCTCTTTCCCTGCCCCACAGGGAGCCTGGGCGTTCCTAGTGCCTTGGGGAATCCTTCCCTGACTGGGCCTGGGTTTCTACTAGGTGAGAAGGATGTCCCTTTGTCCCTACAAAGAAGGAAATCGAGCAAGATAGTAAATGTCTCTGGATGGTGGTAAATTCCCTAATTACCCACAAGTAGCAAGCACTCTGCCTGTAATTAGCACATTTGGGGCAAGTTCCCTGGGAAACAGCTCTGGCTGGGTCAGCGAGTCCCCAGCCTGAGTCCCCAGCCTCCCGCACTGCCTCCTCCTGCCCACCATTAACATTGATGAGGCCAGATGCTGCTTCCCAGACAGTCACCATGGGACGGTCCCCTCAGGGCCCCTCCAGAAGATGGAACCTGAGCACTCCGCAGTGCTAGCCACAAAGAATCCAGCACCTGTTCAGTGATGCCTGATGGGGTATCTGGCCAGCAGATGACAGACACCTGGTGCACACTGGGCAGAGTCCCCGCCCCTCCGCCACTTCTCTGCTGGCTACTTTTTCCAGTGGACCCCTTCCTTCTGGAATGACAGAGTGACACTAAGACTGGGGGGCTTCTCCAGCCCGCCCCCTCCTCCGTTCACAGCGCCTTTTCTTCTTGCCCCAGAGGCACGGGGCCAAATTGAAGGATATCTCTGAGATATGCATTCACTCTTTTTATAGTCACCTTGCCAAGGGCATGCTGGAATAGTGACAGAGCTGGGACATGGTCTCCCAGACTGGAGGTCTGCTCACCACAACCCCTTCCTCCCTCCGCCTTCAGAAACTGCACCTCTCGATCATGGATGGCCCTGACAGCCACCCTCCCCATTTTAACAGTTGCTTCATGGAGCCTGTGGGAGTTTCTGGGGCTTTTCCTGTCCGGCCCCCAGTGGTGGATGGGGAGACAGTTCTGCTTTGCTGCCTTAATCAGATCATTTGACCATCCTGGAGTAGCACTCGAGTTATGATAAGCACTGGACTGCTAATCGCATTAGCTGCTTCTTGGAAACTCTACACAGGTTGCTATGAGTTAGAACCAACTCGACGGTACTTAACAACACAGTCAACTCCAGGATGACCCAGTGGTGGAAGCCAGCCAGGACTAAAAGACCTGCAGACTTATTTGTAGGCGAGGAGACAGAGTCAAAGGAAGAGGTGGAAGAGGTGGGGATGCCAGGCCACGCAGTGAGAAGCATCCAGCAGCCCTTGCAGTTACATGGCCCCGGGGGTCCGAGCGACCCTTCTGCCCCACTGACAGAGCAGCCAGAACTTAACAGCCCCCTTGGAGGCACTCCCACTGCGGAGACCACCGAGGTCATGTGTAAGCCAGTGGTCAAGCTTTCAGGCCAGGACACCCCGTCCCAATACGCTCATTTCAAGACACACACATCGTGAAAACAATCACCGCGCTAAGTCGGCCCCATCTCTACTGCTATGAATCCGCCCAGTTTCCAAGGCTTGGCCTCCTCGCCTGTTGTACAGAGGGGAAGCAGGCTCAGAAAGGGCAGCGTGCCCCAGACCACATGCAGCAGGCGGAAATGATGCAGCTAAGGACTAGAGCCCGGTGTCCGGTGCATCGTCCACGTTGTACCTTCTACCACAATGCTTCTGCAAGGCCTCACAGCTGGGCAGCGGTGGGGAAGCGCACACCCACCAACGTCTCCCCCTCCCCCCCATGAAGCCGCCAGGAGGGGAGAGGTGGGCAGCTCCGTCACCTACAGTTCACTCTGCAGAGCAGGGTGCAGTCACAGTGGCAGAAGCAGGAACAGTGGAAGGTCCACTCCCTGCTGACCATGACGGACCCGGCTCCCTCGCACATCCTGACCACTTACCCCTTCCCTTGGCCGCTGGCTTATGCAGCAGGAAACTGATATGGCACCTGGCCGT